CCTAGGCACACCTATATAAGGAGCTAAATGTTTATCCGAGGGATACTTGAATGTACACTGAAATAACATAAAGATAATGTACTAAGACAGGGTGAAGGACACATTTGAGAAAAGCTATTGAAACTGGGAATTCAGATCTCTCATGGTTGAAGGATAAGATGTCAAAGGTGTAACAAGAGACTGCCAGGAGGGCTTGGTACAGTGTTTAAAGCCCCTTTTATATATGCTCCAGCTATCTGTTTTTAATATTATTACTCTTTTTTGGTTATACTTTTCTGTGGGTGTTTAAGAACAGATCAGAGTAAGACCTGTGCTAAATAAAATTAATCTACCAATATGTACTTGTCAAATGCAGTTAAGCCTCCTCAGGGGTTACTTTTGGGACAATGTGAGGAGCCTCTTAACTCATCGAAGTTTTCCCTCTACTGTTTGTATCATTTGCCAGGATGACCAACAGTGTTGTCTGAAAATATGGCTTTCCTTGAAAGCATGGGGCTATCCCCTTTTCAGTGAGTTTCCTTTTCATAGAGTGTACACTGGTTGACTCCCATCCTCTAGGGTCCAAAAATCCCCCTACTTGGGAGGTGGAATGACTGACCAGAGTGGCAGAGTCCTTTCTGAGGGGTCCTATCATGCCCTGGGTCCTGGCAGATCTTGGAGAGCAAGAGCCAAAGATATTAGCTGTCCTCTTAGCCTTGTTATCTTTCTTAGCTTTGTTCTCTAAACTTCAGTTGTTGAACCCCTAGAAGGTCAGTTATACTAATCCTACAGTGAGAAGCAGATCTTAATCCTAGTATAGTCTCTTTTGGATATTGGGGCACTTTGAACTATAAAGTAGGACCCGAGAACAGCTACCTCGTCCATTAATCACGGCCAGCATTAGTTTCAGGAATCCATATCTATTCTATCTGTCCTGTATGTGATGGTCTAACATCTTAACATATGGTATAGATTGTCTCTTATAAGTCATATTCCTGTAGCATGTTAACAGATGACAGTTATAAAGTTTCGCAAGGAAAATGAAAAAAAAGAGCAAGTAGTATTTTATGAAAACAATTAGGATGACATTTTTATGCCAGGGCCATTAGGTTCTTTTTGTTATTTCTATGAAAATACATTTAAATTCCCAATTTAGTATAAAATAACATCAGTAATAGTTTACCTCTATCAAATTGCAAAATATTAGATGACATAAAAATCCTTATCAAAATTTATAGTAGCTTTTCTTAATGATGTGTCTTTTCAACGATGTGTCTTTTCATAGATGTACTTTAGAGGTGACTAATGTCCAATCTTTAATTATTAGAGTGCTACTCTTGGACTGTCTAGTTTTTAGGTATGTGTAAGTATTATAATCCAATGAGGAAAATACAAACATAAGCTTAAAATTATATTATTACAAACAATTTTGGTTGAAGACACCTATGTAGTGAAGTATTTTCTTAAGTTTTGTATTTAGAAGGTTTCTACACTTGAGATATCTAAATGTATATAATATACCAAGAAGTTGGCAAGAATTAACATCAAAACCATATGTCTTTCACATATATTAACTTATTTTTCATTTTTGAGGCAAAATTTAGAATCTGTAGCTCAATAGTATAGCCATAATCATGTAATTTTTGTATTTAACAGATCTAAAAGTTTAACAGCACTGACACAAAAATTAAATAGCTTTAGATCTCTTAGAAGTCTAGGAAACAGTGTTACTAACCAGAGTCTTATTACCTAATATATAAGTGTATCTCACTTATACAATAACAAAAAAGCTTGTTTAGTCAAATCCAGTAGCTGTAGATCAAGTCATAAATGGTAGGACTGAATTGTACCAAATATAAAGAGCAAAGATGCCAATAATTTTAATTATTTTATATATTTAATGTCCAGATCCAATGCATACTGTATTAAAAAGAGAGCTTGTTTGTTACTTTGCATGCATTAAACTTATGTAATCTTAACTCTATAAACTTAACATTAGACAAAGCTCAGACTCAGAACATATTTTATTCTCAGATTTGTATACATATTTCTATCCAGATATATAGATAGATAGATAGATATAGATATAGATAGATAGATATATGGTGTGCTATAACCTAAGATAATAGTTGTTCATGCTCATTTAACTAGTTATAAATTGATCATTGAAAAGATCTCAGAACAAGCAAATGCTTAAATTTTAACTCTTTTTTTTTTTCTGTCTTTTGAGACAAGGTCTCTCTATGCAGTTCAGGCTGGCCTTGAACTCACTTTGTAGCCCAGGCTGCTCTCAAACTTGCAACGCTCACAATGATCCGCCTGCCTCAGCCTCCTGAGTGCTGGGATTACAAACATGCGCCACCATGCCTGGCTATAAATTTTAACTCTTAAAACTCAGGTTAAGTAACCAAAAGCCTGACAGCAAAAAAGACAAGAAACTTTCTTGATAGAACACAAAACTTTGTTTCCTAATCTAGTTTTTTGAAAGTTTAACAGATAGCTTTTCATTCTCTTAAGAAAACTTTATTGCTTATGACACAGAAGACTCTTGAACTAGCTTTTGAATTATATCCAACTTAATCATATATAATAATTTTTAATAATATTTCTTAAGTGGGTCACAGTAAGACTCTGGGGAAAACCAGAGGAGCTACTCAGCAGTGTTGAAAACTGAAGCAAATTGGATCAGAAGTTTGATGTTTCAGCTACAGAAGGAAGCTTTGTCTGGCAGTTCCTCAGGTCCAAGGGCCCCTACATAAGGGGAAAATGTTATATATTACTTTCATCTTAAATGACATGGTAGAATTTTAACTCTTAGCAGTTTTATGAAGAAAGCAATCTTAAACCTTTTTTCTTCTATGTTAATGATTTATGAAAACACGTGTAGTAGACCAAAATATATCAGTTTTTAAAATGTTAAGAAGCCAAGAATACTTGAACTTAGTAACTGATGACTCAAATGTTGTTATATTTATAAGCATTAATCTCATTTATAGTTACTTATAATTATTTTAGATTATTTATGTATACCAAGATATTAGACTAGTATAGTTAATATTTTAGACATATATATACATACATATGAATATATGTTTTGTTTTGTTTTTACCAAAAGAAAATAAACCCTAAAGGTTTTCATGTTTGAAATACAGAAAGCAATGAACATTGTACCTAAAGTCTTTAATAAATTATCCTGATAGGCTGAACAAAATGTATGTTAGCAATTTTAAAGGCATCTTCATTTTACCAACCAAACTCATTGTTAGGCAAAAGGCATTTAGGCTAGTTACACATGTCTACTTATCTATAAGCCAATTTAAATAGACGTTTCAGAAGATAACATTTACCCAGAAGTTAACACACAGAAACATACTTAACTAAATCATATAAGCTTTATGCTACTAAACTTATTTGCAAAACTATGTAAAGCTTGAGCTTAGCAGTTTCCACCCCCCTTTTTAATATCTAAAGTGAGCTTGGTAACCCTTGAATGTTTGTATAACTCTGTGCATATGTGTGTGGGCGGGTAACCTAACAGAACCAGAAATCTGTAAGGAAAAACCAAATTTTAAAAAATCGATACAAGTTCCACTTTTTTAAATGGAGAAGCAAGCACTTTAGCTAATTATTAAAAACTGATTATAAGGCAGATAGACATGAAAATAAATAGAATACATGAAGAAATTATTTTAATTATATTAATTATATTAAATCAGAGTTTACTTTTAGATGTGGTGGCCATGTCACTTCAGGATAATAATTCTTTTCCTTACTTTTAGATTTAGATCTAAAAAATAGATCAGAAATAAATAGAATTCTCCCTAGGGAGTATAAATTAGTGCTTCTTATTCTGATGTAAGTCGTAACAGCATTTTCTCTACTAGTCCAAACTACCCTATTTCTGTTGCTGTTTTCTCTTAGTTAACACCAGAGTTAAGAATCAGAAGCTGGAGAGAAGACAGCAGGAGAGAAGTAGATGGTTAGATGGGATCTTTGTTTATTTCCTTTTCTTTTCATTAAACCAAGTTTGAGGCCTTGTCTTTTTAACTTACATTTAGAAAAACGTAAATAAAATTAACTTTTAAAAACCCCTCATTTAAAAACTGTCCTAATTTTGTGAAATATCACTTCAAGGTGACATTTTGGGGACAGATATACAAGTTATACATAACATTTTAGATGTCTGCATCTTTTAAGATCCTTCTTGTGTAATTCTGAAAAGCGATAAAGGAAGAAGAAAGGATCCTTCAGATCCTCACTGAGGGTCTAGAAAGCACCTCATTCTGGCTCCAAATTTACTCAGGATCAGTTATGAAGACCCCTATTTCATTAAGAAACTTCCTGTACCTGGATATCTTCAATTCTTGTCACAAAATACTTATTGGTCAAAAATATTTCTCCTAGAAACCAGCCATCAGAAAGAGGAACACAGAGAGGAGAGACGCAGTTAGGACAAGGACTGCATCCTCCTTAAGGCCATGACTAGCACTTCTAGGGGCCATGCTGGTGATCTGGAATGGTATGATGTAAAAGCTAGTGGATGATAATTGATTTACTACACTATCAGCCTTGAAAGAGGAGGATTATCTGTTTTAGGGGAACACTCCTCAAAAGATGAACCTATCTGAGTGCAGAGTTCAGCAGAAATCTGACCCAAAGTTTAAGGCAGCAAAGGAGAACAAGGCAAAATGCAGACTGAGAAGCCAAGTGCTTAACCTGCTTTTCGTTACTCATCAGACAGCTGCAGGCCCAAGGGAAGAGTCTGTGCTCCTAGCAAGAGCACCCTTGTCACAAGGGGAGAGAGAAGAGTGGGGCAAATGTATACATGTTGGAGAAACAGGGGATGTATTTCCGGTAAAAGTAATGCCATTTGCAAAAGAAAGGATTGATAAATTACTTCAAGAAACCAGAAGACAGGAGGCCCTGAAGCTCAGATAGTGGGGGAGAAGAGAGCTTTGTAAGGAACCCTGAGATAACGACCCACCAGTCCGCAGTTTGCCCAGGTTGCTTCTGAGGTCTGCTTCTTGCCCCCACTTTTGTTCTTGCCCAGGGTCAACCAGGAGCTGTTGCCAACACCCCAAAGGCAGAGTTGGGGAAAGCTGGCCTTGTGTTCCTTTCCAGCGTAGCCACACTGAATACATTACTATCTTCCTTTACTGCCTTTTCCATTTTGTCCTTTGGGACCAGTGGCTGGATCCGATCTGCTGGGACCCTGGAGTCACGCTTCCCTGGCCTAGGCCACTGGTGACTGACTTAACCTTTCCTGTCACAACCCAAATGTCGCTCCTGAGAGTCTCCCTGGCACTTGTTGTCATTTAGATCTTTCCCCTGTTCTCTGTTAGCAGAACTCCACGCTTCTCCTTCTGACATCTCTCACCCTTGTCTCATCTTTTGCATGTTTGGCTTTTGTCCCTCACTTTCACTAATTTAAGCTCCAGGAGCAGAATGGAGATGTTTGATTTCCCATCTCTGGATTCCCAGGGGCAGCACAGGCCTGGTCCAGGGTCAGCATAAGGGAAATTTTACAAAGTGAAGGAGATGGTCCCACGTAAAGAAAGGGCAAAGAACTATGAGCTGAGAGTGGAGGATGGAGGGCGTGGTTGGGATGGAGGTTTCTAGCATGAGATGCTGTGGGCTCTGGTGAGGCGCAAGTCCTTGTCCAGCTCCTGGGTCCTGTTCTCACCCAGAACCAAGGGGCATTGGGTCCCAAATGGCATCTGATCAGAGGGCTGTCCCGGTCATCATGGGCTCCTTCTTCCTCTGGGAGATGGCAGATGAACCTGGGATGCTGCTTTTGCGTAAGCCCCTATCGTGGGCACTGCCTTGCCAGAGAACAGCCTGTGACTGGATCACTCCTGTTCTCACAGCACGTTTCATGGAGTATGTTAAATCAGAATGTCACTTCTCCAATGGGACAGAGAGGGTGCGCTTCCTAGAGAGACACATCTTCAACCTGGAAGAGTATGCACGATTCGACAGTGATGTTGGGGAGTTCCGAGCTGTGACAGAGCGGGGAAAGTCTGCAGCCAAGTTCTGGAACTCGTGGAAGGGTGCCCTGGAGCAGGAGCGGGCCACAGTGGACACTTTCTGTAGAGTCAACTACAGGGTTGTCCAGAGCTTGACTGCGCATCTGAAAGGTGAGCAAGGGGCCTGGGGCAGCCTGGGGTGGGAAGGTGAAATGTGTACCCGTGTATATGTGTATATTTGTGACAGAGACAGACAGAGAGATATGAAAAAAAGAACAATGTTTCTCAAGATCTCTCAACTCTAGTGTGTCCTTGCTGCCTGAATTAAATTCCAGGGTCATGACAATGAGTCCTATTAGGCCTTAGGCCAACTTTGAGCCAGGTCACCAGGACTTCTCCCTGTGAAGGGATACAGGAAGGTAGACAAATGAAGGGGAATACTCTGCCTTCCTGACTCATCCTTTCTGCCTTTTCTCCTCTAGTTGAGCCCAAGGTGACTGTGTACCCCACAATGACCCAGCCCCTGCAGCACCACAACCTCCTGGTCTGCTCTGTGAGTGGCTTCTACCCAGGCCACATTGAAGTCAGATGGTTCCGGAACGGGCAGGAGGAGGAGGCTGGGGTGGTGTCCACAGGCCTGATCCGGAATGGAGACTGGACCTTCCAGACCCTGGTCATGCTGGAAACTGTTCCTCAGAGCGGAGAGGTTTATGCCTGCCAGGTGGAGCACCCGAGCTGGAGCAGCCCTGTCACGGTGGAGTGGAGTGAGTCAGCAGCTTCCCAGCCTTACAAAGCCCACCTACCTATAAATGGTCCTTCAGGTTTCTCTTCTCCCTACCCTCAAATTTTATTTCTTCCACTTTCTCCTTCAGCACCAGTCGTAGGTGCAGTTCTGTCATAGTTTCTATGACAATACCTATGCCACCAGAGTAACTAATTATGCATATGAGACAGAAAAGTGATTGTCCCCGTTTTGAGCCATCCCATGAGGTCACAAGTGAGGTCAACCGTTTGCCCTTATCCTAGACACTGCCTCTGGGCTGGGCTTGTGTTTCTGATGCTTTTTCTCTGGGCTGTTCATTGTGATCCCGAAAGAGACGATGCAGGGCCCTCTGAGGTGAGGGGAGCCGACCTCAGCTCTGTCGTCCGCTAGCTCCGTCATTCTAGATGGGTCACTTAACTGTACTGAGCGAAACAGACTTTATACCTCACAGATTATTTCTGGGTTGTGATATTTTAATGAATTCAGTGCTTCTAAGGCTTATAACTACTCAGAGTGACTTTTAATCTTTTTTTCAAGGAATGAGCAAGTCTATCTCTTGCAGTGCAAGAGACTTCCTCCAATCTCAAGGCTTTGAAATTCAGTGTCTCAGTGAAGGAAGTTTAATTAGAGCAAAAATCTCTAAACCTGGCCTCTTCCCTCAGGGACACAGTCTGGATCTGCACAGAGCAAGATGCTGAGCGGAATCGCGGGCTTTGTGCTGGGTCTGCTCTGCCTTGGGGTGGGGCTGTTCATCTACCTCAGCAATCACACGGTAAGGAGTTCGTTGGTGCTTGAGATTCTCCATAGATGTGTCTGGGCAAGAAATAGGACTTTGCAGGTGTTTTCTTCATATCTCTGTGGCCCTACACGAAGCCTTTCTTTCATCAGGTGACCTCAACATTTCCTAGGAATTGACAGGAGAAGTCTATAGTTGGTATGTTTATACATCGGGAGCTAAGACCTTGTGTACAAAGAGAAAGGTTAACTAGCCTAGAAATAATGGCCCCAACACAATGGGAAAATAAGAAAGAGCCACTGAACACCGGGTCTTGGAGGCAGAAGCTTCCTTGGTCACTTGTGCTCAGTCTGTGCTCCCTCTCTGTGGTGGCTGGAGTGATTTGAGTGAACCAAGAACCCCTATGTGGCACATGCAACACTGGGGACACTGGTTGGGGGCAGGCTTGCCCCCATGTCACTATTTTCCTCTTCCCCCTATCTTTCCCAGGAAATTCTGGAAAGCAACGAGCAGTAGTTTCTTTTCAGACTTCTCGGAGGCAGATTTGCTCGTCCTACGAGGGGTGATAATTGTGACAACACGTGAGAGGGAAATAATGGGAAAGACCTTGAATTCTAGTTTCTAAGCAGGCAGCTGATGTTAAACCTCTTTCTTCCGCTTAGCAAAACGTCTGTTCTCTGAAGAGCCTTGGCTCAGGGAGACCTTTTCTTTTTCTCTTCTGTGGCACTGTTGTCACAAGGTTTTGTTTTTGTTTTTTCTTCTGGTACCAGGAATCAAACTCATGACCTTGCTCTCGCCAGGCAGGCTCTCTGCCGCTGAGCTACGTCCCCAGCCCTGCAAGAGGTTTTGAGAAAGGAAAGAAGCTGTGTGTTCACAGTGAGGTCTGGAAACATCTCTGTTCTCTGTCTCTACAGGACTCCTGAGCTGAAGTGAAGGTAACAACCCTGAAGGAAGGATTTATGTCCGCGCCAGACCAGTGGTGCCAGGCTTCCTGCTTGGTTCTCATTCTTCCACAGAAAAAGACTGTCACAGGACCTGGTTCCCCTGCTTCAGTGACCCCGCAAAATGTGTCCTCCCTGACAGCTTCCTCCGCCCCTGTCCCTGACTGGGAAGCCCCATTACAGACTGAATGACTTCATATTCTGCTGGCCCCTTTGTGTTAAATTCTGGCCTCCTCCCCTGCCTCTAAACTCATGTTATTCCTTATTACTTCAGTAAATTTTTCTCAAATAATCATAGATTGAGAAATCATTTGCTTTATACAGCTTTAAGGACAAAAAATAGCAAAGAAAAAGAGAATAAAATGATATTACAACAATGACTTTCAATTGTGTATGGTAAGTATGTGAGGTATTGTACTGGTTAAATAGATGGAAATGTCTTTTTCCATCTGTCTACATATAATAGACATCATGTTCTACAACATAAATATATATGACTTTGGCTAATTGGTTAAAATAATTTTTAACAATTAGATAAAAATGCTAAAGGCAGTGCCTAACAACACAAAATAGACTTATAACAGTTGAAACAAACTGGAAGAAAAGGTGATAAGAAACAAGCTAAAAAAAAAAAAACTCTTAGTTGCAAATCAGTATATGGATCTGAATTCACAGACTTCATTGATCCGCTTGTGTGAAACATCTGAAATGGTGTCAGAGAAAGGCAGGCAAATTGTTTGAAAAAGAGAATTCTGGTTTGTATTCCATTTGAAGAGTCAGTCACAAATCTAAGTAAACCAAAAAGCAAATGACCAATTGAAAAGTTTATTTCCAATTAATAACTGAACACAATTTCTCCTCTGTTATAGACACTTCTCATTTTATTTTTAAGTTATTCAAAGTCTAAATTATGACCATTTTATTTTGAGTTACAGTATCTATTGTGTCTGCAAAGCATAATTTCCTATAAGAATTTATAAGTGATAATTACATCTGTGCTGTTAAATCCCAGTGTTCCAACTTTACCCTGGTTCCATTCCTTCAGACGAGAAAAAAAAAAGCTCGTCTCACTTTATCTGAGATTTGTGGTGGGAAATTGTAAGGAAGAATTAAAATACATGGAACACATATTTCAGTCAAGATGCTTTGTAAAGCAACTACTAAGAAATCCAATCTACTTGCCTCTAATCCAAGGTGGGGGACCTCAGGGACTTCTTATTTCCGGGGCAAATGGTATCTCCAGTGAGCCTGGCACTTTTAGTGCATTTCTCCACAACTGAGCTGCACCCCTAGCCCACCAGAAAAGTTTTAGATATCCTTGTGGGCTTGTGTGATGGATTGAAACTAGAGGCCAGCTGGGTGTGGTGGTGCACCTCTGTAATCCTAGCATTCTGGGACACAAAGGCAGGATGATTGCAAGTTGGAGCCTATTCTAGGCAACTTCGTGACTTAGGGAGATCCTGCCTCAAAATAAAAAATGAAAAATGCCTGAGACTTTCCAGGGCCAGTTCCTTGACAAAGGCAGGACAGGCAGCGGGTCCCTGCTTTGCAGGAACCGCATAGGATGGGTGTGCGGCTCTCCCTACTCTCTATTAATCGTAGCTTTGCAGATATTCATTGTGCTATTGATAAAGGATGGTTGGGAACCTAAGGATCACAACTGAAAGTAGTTAAGGAATCAGAGCCCAGGATGAAAGGCATCCTTTTAGCGTTGAAAAGGAAGGCAAAAGCCTCCAGAGAGATTTGCATCAGTTCCCTACCTCCTGTGTGGCGATGTTCGCCCACCGGAACGGGAGGGGAGCGCTGCGCAGTCCTCAGCACTTAAGGAAACGTTAGGCGAACGCCCTATGTGTGCTGGACTGGCTGTGGAGGGAGATATTGTAAATATGGGTCCTATTGTCCAGTAGACAAGTGAACAATTCTGTGAAAAATTATACCTAATGAAGAACACCTAGTGATTGATCTTTTTTGCTTCCTTTCATGTGCTTTAGAAAAGTTGATTTCCTGTTAGGGGTGCGGTCAGACAGTCGGTCAACCGTGTCTGACTCTGTAACTAAAATAGAAACCTCACTGTATCTAGGAGTTTCATATGTAATAGCAAAAGTGTATAATAAAACAAAAAACATTTCTCTGGGTTAGAGAAGCCTTGCTCCGCTGGCCCACCAGAAGGACCTCTGGTGTCTGTGTTGTTTGTCTTTTAGCCTGCATCCTTCCCTCCTGCAGGAATCTCCTGGACCTGCTGCGGCCAGACTGACGCAGAGAAAGATCGGAGTATTAGCTCATGTAAAGACTCTGGGTTTAAACACCAGTACAAATAAAAACTCTATAGTTTCCCCTACCAAATAACATATATCTTCTTCTAACTGTCAGCTGAGTCTCTTCAGAAATTTGCTGAGTTTTGTGGTGATAGTATGGAAGCTTGGAAGGCATACATAGCACAAAAAAACCACTAAATTTCATGGCAAAAAATCATCAATAAACAAATGTAGACATACACAAAACATTCAGTCACCTTTACTTAAGTAGACTTTCTAACTGGCAAACATATTCATGGCACTCAATATCCAGTAATTACAGAATTTATATTTCCTTAAGTTGTACCAAAAACCCTCAAATTTGAACATATACTGTGGATATAAACTTGGTCCCCAAAATTTTCCAAAGACCAAAATCATATAGAGTATATTGTGTCCACACTCTTATCAAATTTCAAATCCATAAGACAGAAAATCACCAATATTTGTAGAAGTGAAAAAACACTCTTCTCAATGTATAGTAGATCAAAGAAAAAATCAGGAGGGAAATTCAAAAATAACTTAAAATAAAAGAAATTGTAATAGATTTTGAAATTTTTGATATGTAATAAAAAATTCCATATAGGGAAATATATGTCTAAATTCTTGCATTGTAAAAGAAAAACTATAAAGATCAAGTACTTAAGCATTTAAGAATTTAAGAACAGGTGAATTTAACAAATTCATTCAAAATGAATAAAAGTATAAGTAAATATGATATAAAATTAACAACATTGAAAATAAAAGTATGCTAAAGATAAAGAAATTAAGATTTCTGTGTTCTTTTTTTGCAAAACTAATAAAAGCAGAAATGTCCAAAATATGAAATTTGAACTTTTGGAATGAAAAAGATAAGATTCCTGAAAATCCTACCAGCATTAAAAAGACAGGAAGAGGAAGATACAATTTTGTGCCAGTATATTTGTCTGCATAGATGAAAGTATTTGAAAAAGGACCTCTTAATGAATCACCACCACTGTTAATGAGTCCTGCTGGTTTAAAATTACAGTCTTGTTATGATTTCTCAGGGATCTGGGATTTGGTTGAGTTTAGCACGGTGGCTCTAACCAGGATCATCCGTCTCACGTGGTTGCAGCCAAACGGAAGCTGGCCCCGGGTCCTCGAGAGTCTCAGTTTGGACAGTGGGATACTCTCCCTACATGTAGTTTTGGGGCCTATGATGTGGCCTGTGTTTTCCCATCAACAATGAAGACTGGCTTCTTGCATGAGGGCTGAGCATCCCAAAAACATGTTTTTCAAGAGGACAGCGTAACAGCTTTAAGACCCCTTGAGACCTGTACCTCAGAAGCTATGGGAAGTCGCTGCTTCCACAGGGTGTTGGTCAGCAGGGCCTGCGCAGATCTAAGGGAATGTGAAATACAACCCACCTCTTTGAGGTGAGTAACAAATAACTGCACCCATTTAAGTCTATCCTACATAATTTCTCCAAACTGACAAAAATATTAACACTTTCTATCATCCTCCATCTCATAAGGACATTGTAGCTTTCTCAAATATCCTTCAAATGAAATTAAAGAATCAGTTCGTTTCAGTGTTAAATCCTGGGAAATATTTTCAGTTCCTCTGAAATTGGATTCTTTTCTGATAATCTGAGTAGGTGTTATGGTGAATTTTCTCATGGATGTTCAAATGACCAAGCAGTATCTACTGAAAGGAATTATCCTTCTTGGTCTGTATGGCTACAAGAGATCACAGCATTGTATTTGGGAGAAGATCTGGTTCTAGAGTTTTAATTTCATTCTCTTGTCTAATTTGTCTATATTTGAGAATACACTATGCTGAGTAACACCACAATATAGTAGATCATGTTATGTTGTACTGAATTTTGTCCAGTTGCGTTAATTCTCAGAAAGTTCATTCTCTACATCTAGACTTCAGCATTTACATGTGAAGGTAAAATGTAGCTGACATTCATTCCATACATCCCTGAAAGGAAACAGAAGAAATAAAAAGACACAAATAAAATAAGCAAGCACACAATAAACCACACCTTGATACTCCATGGGATTTTTAAATTCAGATTCTATTAGAGTTAGCTGACATTTAAAAAATATTTAGTGTTATAATCTCCAAATTAGATGTTTCCTCCATTTATTTAGATATTTCTTTCTTCCCATAATATCCTACAATTTTCAGTAGAGAAATATATTATTGTCTCATTTTTATTTTCTAATTTCTACTTGATCCAGTTATACCTCTCCAGGGTGACTTCCTGCAAGAGTTGAAGATATCAGTTCATGAGATATACATACCCAAATGTGTACTAGTGCAATTCACAATAGCTAATATGTGGAAACAGCCTAGGTGCACTTAAACAGGTGAGTGTATACAGAAAGTGTTGTCTATACACAATGGGGTTTTATCCAGAAAGAAGGATAGTAGAACCATTTGTAGGAAAATTTCATTTGCTTTGTTATCCTACACACTGAACTATAGATACTTTTCACCTCAGGGTTATTTCAGGACTGTGGTATTTAACTGTATTTAGTGCATAGACTTCTTGTTTGATCTTTAAATCTCTCTTTCCACGATTGGCCAATTCTAGCTCTTCTAGTGCAGGCTTCTTCCCCTAGTCTCAAAACTCTGAATCAGTATCTCAATGAGAGAAACTGGATTTGGGACAATAATTACTAAATCTTCTTGCTTCTCTCTGGGACACAGTCTGTATCTGCACAGAGCAAGACGCTGAGTGGAGTCGGGGGCTTTGTGCTGGGTCTGCTCTTCCCCGTGGTGAGGATGTTCATCTACTTTAGGAGTCAAAAAAGTAAGGAGCTTGTTGGTGCCTCAGACTCTTTGTAAACTTTTTTGGGAGGGGGATAGGCCTTTTCTGAGGTTAGTTTTCAGCATATCAGTGGCCTTATAGGAACGCTTTGTTTCATCAAGAACTTCAAACTTCCTACAAATTCAGAAATCAATGGTTTATGTTTACTTATATTGAAACCTACAGGGTTATGGTTTCAAGAAATAAGAGAAAGGAAAACAAGCTTTAGATTTAGTGGGCTGAGACCCAGGAATATAATGAAGGCAAATAATGAAGAGCCACTGAACACTGGATTCGTGGGACCAAAACTTTGTGGATCACAAGCTCTGAGTTGGTGTTCTGTCTCTGCCCTGGCTGCTGTGTGTTATGTTGTTATAGAAATCTCAATAGGCAGATCTGAGGCTGAGGACATGGTATTTGGGAGGCAGATTCATATCCATGTTGTTTAAATATATTCTTACCCTCTCTTTCTCAAGGAAATTCTGGACTTCAGCTAACAGATTACGTCCTTTAACCCTCTCTGAGAGAGATTTTCTTTCCACAGTGAATGGTCAAAGTGACCAGACACAAGACAGAGGTACGGGGGAAGGTCTGGATCTAAATTTCTGAGTCTGTCCACTTAATAGAAGGCCTGTGCTCTGGATTAGCTTTGGCTCTGGAGACTTGAGAACGTATCTCTCTTCTTACAGCAGTGCTGTCGTGATAGGTCCTGAGAAGGGAAAGGAGTCATGTGCAGATTTAGGTCTGGAAACACCACTGTCCTCTGTCTTCCTCAGGACTCCTGAACTGAAGTAAAGCTGACAACACCAAAGGAAGGACGGGTGTCCCTGCCTGTTCCAGTCTGGGAAAGGCTTCCCTCTTGGCTCCCATTCTTCCATCCTGGAGCTGGTTGCTTCCTGGTTCAGCGACCTAGTTACTTTTCTCGTTGGTGAGATGAAATACTAGACGCCCACTGCTCAAGGAGGAGGAGTTTTTTAGCTCACAGTTTGTAGGGGTTTCGGTCCATAATCGGCTGGCTCTAAGGCAGGGTGGCATAGCAGAGTGGCAACCATTCATGGCTGTGGAAGACACCAAAAGCAACAGAAAAGAAGGGGAGAGTAAGCCTCTTTCCTCTCTTACATTGTACGCAGGCTACCAGCCCTACCATGGGTGTAGCACTCACACCCTTAGACTATGAATCAGTCACAGATTCAGCCACCTCCAAAAAGCCAGCCCCTCCCATGACCACATAAGGCTTTGGGGGGACTCCAGGCACAAACCATAACACTGACCATACAGAACATGCCCTTCCTGATGGCTTTTTCAGCCTGTCCTCCACCAGTTCAGACTACAGGACAATTTTTCGTTCTCTCCTGGTCCTTTTGTGGTCAATCCTTGCTGCCTCCTTTGCCTCTGAACTCACCTTATGAAACATTACATTATATTTTTCTCCAGTAAACATGGAGTCTATTAAACAAACTTGCTTTAAAAAACTCAGGAAAAAAAGCTGGAAAAGTAAATGAAAACTTTTCTTTGGCCTTTAACTGATGGATTGTATAACTCTAATTGGAAACTAAGGTAAGGATGTAAGTGCATAGACTTCATTACTATACTATCATAAACTGTGGATGGATTTCCAGGAAAGGCATGAGAATTGGTTGAAAACATAGAAGATTATGCTGTTGTATTTTGTCAAAAAAGTCAAATACCAGTGTAAGTCAAAAAGCAAATAATCAACTCAGAACTTCATGTCACAAACATAATCTCCACTGTCACAAATAGCACCTGTGTATGTAGAGGCAAATTCAAAGTTTATTTTATGCATCAGAGCTAGGACCCAGAAATTCTTCATGGAGCTAAGGAAAATTTGTAAGAAACTTACATCCTTACTACCCTATTATAAACCTTATGTACTTTTTCCTGGGTTTGGATAGAATATTCAGACACAGGTGGGGTGAGGTTTACCTACCCAGAATATTCTGGAAAGCTCCTGCTTACTCTCTGTTGGACTTTGCAGAGATCTTCAGAAGACACCAATGGACATGATGACAGAAACCTCTTTCTAGTGGGTCTCTGAACAAAGATTCCAAGGTCACCAAGATGCTAGAAGCTTAGCATTACAAGAACATTTTCAATGAACTGTTATGTGCACATATCAAAATGGAATTCCAGAAGGTTTCTGAGGGGATTGGGATTTACACTTGGGTATAAATTTAAGGTCTGGAGATTCAATAAAGAGAAGTCTATCAGGGGAGGGGTAGGAGGAGAAATATACATGATCAAAATATGTTACATGCAAGTATGAAAATACCACACTAAAACCCAATATTTTATAAAATGAATATGTACTAATAAAATATATTTTAAAAGGGAACTACCATTTTGTGTCCATGAGTAGATAAAAAGAAAAATTTTGAAATGTCTTAAAATTAACTATTGAGACAGAGGATAGAGAGAAGAGGTCAGGGAAATTAATCAGATAATATTTTTGGAGACGTGATAAGGGGAAGTTAATCTGTTAATAGTTTGGGTGAAACCAATCAATGGACTCTAAATGTTGAAACCTTGATTTAAATCATATTTGGCCAATCACTGGGGCGCAGTACCTTGTTTACATCTGAAATTTCCCAGCCATTTATCCCAATCCCTGCAGAAACAACAAGGATCACTCCTAACCCAAGGATTTCTGAGCTTCACCTGAGCTATATACTATAAACTTTATATTATAAATTATAATCAATGGAAGTTCAAAGTACATATTTCTTTCTTTCCCCAACATTTATAAAAATATTCTTATTAACTATTGTTATTATTTTTTCCTTTTCTGTATGGATCAGTGACTGGCTTTGTATTTTAAGTGTCAGATTAGCAGCTGCCTTCTGAAAACTCCTGAGACTATCCTGATTGGACAAGGGATGGACATTCTATACTGTGTTGTTATGACTTGTGTCTAAAAGTCCTCCCAAAGCCTCATGCACTCATACGTGGGGCTTCTAGGAGGTGGCTGGATGGTGGGTGCATAATGCTGGGTTAGGGTGTGTGATACTGGCATTAAAGGTGTGTGATAACTAAACTGGTCTAGCATAGTTCTGGGTGTGGATAATGGAAGCCTCACCTGGGGTGTGGGTGGCAACAGTCCAGAGGCTTGTAGCCTGGATGGGATGTAAAAGCTTTGCTGCTTGCTGCCTTCTGTCTGCCCTGCCATGAACTGTTTTTCCTCTAGAATGCCCTTTTGCCATGGTGTCCTGCCTTGTAGCTATCTGACTATGGACTGAAACCTCTACAAACTGTGAGCTGAAACTTCCTCCTTTAACTTGTGGATTTCGGGTATTTTGTCTCAACAATGAGAAATTAACTATGACAAGTACCTTGCTGAGGACTACACAAGCCCACTTTCCCGTGATGTACTGCAACACTTTAGGCACACTGCAATTGAGCCCCATTCTGCGGGGACTGATAGGACTCAAGGTATGTGTAATGCTACAGATTGCCACCCATGTACTATTCAGCAAATCTATATTCAGGTTTTACTTGTTTGTTCTCAGGTGTTATGAGTTATTTAAGTATAAACAAGCCTATGGCTTCATACATCAAAGTCAAAGACTGCAAAAAAATCTCTGTACTGATAACCACTTTCTACCAGAAACCAATTTAACCTTATTTTCCTCAAGAAATAAGCTATCATTGACACCTGTCACATAAAGCAGCTATAGAGAGGACTACTTCTTCCCTTGCTTGCAGTGACAAAGTTTAACCTAAAGATTGCATATGGGACGATGTTTGGTGACACTTTATGTGTAATTTTACCTAAACTGACCTTACATTGAATAGTATTAAACATATAGGCCATTTAAAGAAGCACATTTTTGTAACTTATAAATGTATACAACATACAGAATTTAATTCCTAGGCTTCAGCTAATGAGCCACACTCTGGACCATGGGATGTAGGAATTTTGAAAACATTAATTTTTGTCACAAGGGAACTTGTGTGGAACCATGGGTGTCGTTCATGTCATAGATGCAAATTCTGTCATTTCAACAGAAGTGTAATGATGGAGATTCACTGACTCTTTTGAAGGAACTGGAATTCCTATGCAATCATTCGCCCAAATTATATGAAGCACTGTCACTCATAAAAAGTAGTAGTGTTATTAATATGCATATCCAAGATCAAAAGTGATGAAAATAATTTTAACATAAAGGACATTATTCTCTTTAGCAACTGAACATGAATAGTGTAATATAATAACAGAAATTATGGCAGTCAAATTTTATAATTCAGTTCAACCTAGAGTACATAATTGCCTAACTTCATGTTCCTGCAAGAGTTGTTCGATCACCATTAATTATTCTCTCCATATATGATGATGAGTTACTTCCCACACTGTACTGAGGTGATTATAAAATTTTTTAAACTGATACATAAAAAGCCATAAGGAAAATTCTGAGTGATACGTAAAGTGCTCAGAACTCACTCAATAGATTTCAGTAATTTTCATTGTATTATGACCACTCCTGCCACTAGAAATGCTGATACACACAGAGAATGACTTGTTGTCAGCACTGCGGTAGACAATTAATGCTAAATTGTGTACATGTAGTTGTCATTTAAAGTCCACTCTGAGTCCGAGACTTTAAATTTACATTAATGCAATACATACATTTGTATCTAATAATGACCTAATAGAATTATATTTTTAAATTTATATGATCACATAAAATGATGCAATTCATAATTTTTTCATAGTATTCTATGTCCTGAAAATTCTACAATATATTCATTAACAATGTCTTTTCATATCTTTTCTTCAGACAAAGTGGGAGAAGAAGAAAGATAAAGAATCATATCCTTAATAAAATGAGGAAATCATAATAGGAACCAGGACTGAGGGATTGACCACTCACATAAAATATTAATTGTCCTGGGGTTTTGTGTCAAAGACTGACTTTGAGTCAATGGAACTGGCTCATCAGAGTGGAGGAATCCGAGTGTTTCAGGTGAAAATGGCTCAAACCTTTGAAATATTAAATTAAAACAATCCTTTTAATGAAGGGTACTATAAGTTTCAGGAAAGGTTCTTCATACTGAATCTCTGACCACCAACTAATGATGTCATGCATCTCTGATGCTGATTGGCTCTTTGACACTGAAATTACCCAACCCAGCACCACATGAATGAGCATCTTGCTTCTTAGTATTTGGGATGGGGGCCAAGAAGGCTCATCAAGCTCACCGAGTGAGATCTGTCTGCTCCTCTCTGACCCAGTTCTCTCTTCTTTTCCAGCATGCTGTGTAGGCGGCCCCCCAGAGGCTCCCATGTGGCAGCTATGACAGTGACACTGATGGTGCTGAGCCCTCCTGTGGCTTTGGTCAGGGACACACAACGTAAGTGTGCACCTCAGGTGCTGAGCTGCTACGTGTGGGTGGGGAAGGAAGGGAGTTTGCATTCTCACTTTGTCAAGGGCAAGTCCCTTACAAAATTCTGACAGTTTTCACTGTGACCACTTATTCTAATCATATGAATCTCAAATTATTTCCACAAAGGAGCCCTGATTCTTATCCTGTCCATAAGATCTCCATATGGGGCCTCAATATAGTCCATTTCTTCCCAACTCTTCTCTGAAGAAGCCTCTTCAGCCTTACATCAGATTCTCTCAGGGGTTTGAAGGGACTGAGCATAATAGCGCTAAGATAATTTCCTATTCAGCACTTCCCTTTATTCTGTTGAGTTATGCCAGGAAAAAGGAAGGTTTCTCTGGAAATTATAGGTACAGTCAACGGGAACTGCCTAGTTCCCCCAGGGAAAAACCTCTGATGCTGCTGCCTGTATATTGTGTGACAACGCAGCAAAAGGCGTCTTTCGTTATCTTCTCTTTTTCCCTGCACTCTAATGCTTAAGAAGACCGTGCCGCTGTGCTGGAGGTGCTCAGATGCAGTTGAGGTCTGGGCGCTCTCTTTCTCCTGTGGAAAGTACCCTGCATGTGACGCAGAGCAGTAACTGCTCAAAATAACCCTACAGATAAGGAGCAACTGTAAGTTGTTCTTTGGTTCCTTAAAATACTTAAACCATCTTCTGAAAACCTAGCACAGTTTAGTTTTCACTGTGATCTGCATTTGAACCTTTTTATCCTGTCAGTGTATCCCACATCTTGGGCTTTGTGAAATTCTTTTGTAAATTAAAAGCAGTTAAAACCATCCATTTCACAAGGTTCAAATATGTACCCTTATCAGGGGTATAGAGTGTGAAGGTTGACATCTATGAAATTGAGATACAATAAACAAGGGAATTTGGTCTATTGGAGTCTCTTCCACATTTCCTGGGTTTTTTCATCGTTCCTTCTACTTCCTTAGTTAACTGTGTAAGAGTCCCTCCACTGACAGCTTCTCCCTAATTCTTTTCCCCAGATATATCTTGATTTTAAATTTCTTTTATGCAGTTCGATGTTGAGGGGTTCAAAACTGGCATGTGCCTACTTGTTGGATCAGCTCATGGAAGAAAGAAAGGCAAGAGAGAGAAAGAGAGACTGAAAGAGAGATAGAGAAGACTAGATTTTATAACAACCCCACATACACAAATGAACCTACCCTTATTGTAAAGATATTAATCCATTTATGAAGACAGGATCCTCAGGACCATATCATCACTTAAATGCTTCACCTTCAACACTGTTGCACTGGAGTTTATAAAACATGTACTTTGGGGGACACATTCACCCGTAATATTCTGTCCCTAGCTCCCCAAATTCATACTCTTCTCCCATGCAAAACAACTCATCCTGTATCAACAGCCCCCAAAGCTTTAACTTCAAAAGCATCAAGTCAGAACTCCAAAGACCAGCAGCTTATCTAAATCACATATAAGTGAGATTCACGCTGTGGCAAATTCCCACCCAGCTGCGAGACTCTAAAATTACAGTTTTCAACTTCCAGAATACAGTGGTGGGACACGTATAAGGTAGATACTACCATTGTCCATGGAGAAGTAAGCAAGAGACAAAAGGGTTAACTGACCCCATCTAACTCCAAAACCCAGCTGGGAAAATCATTAAAGCTGGTAAACAGTCCTCTTTGACTCCATATCTTTCAATCTCCAGGGCCTCAGGTAGCTCTGTCCCGATGGGCTACAAAGCTCAGTCCACCCAGCAGCTTTCAAGCTGAAAATCAGTGCCTAAACTGTCCAAGGTTAGAGTTGCATGTTTGTGCCCTTGTACTTCTGTGGTCTCAGGGACTGACCCACTGTCCTACGTCCACTAGGTATTGCCTTACTGGGGGCTCTGCGGTGGCCTCCATGATATGGTTCCTTTTGACATTGCCTTGGTGGACATTCTGGAGTGGCTCTGGCCTTGTAACAAGTCCCTTCACAGGTTTTCAGGCCCTCCAAATCATACTTTGAAATCTGGGTGGAGACCACCATGGTCCTACAGCCCTTGTATTCTGTGCACCCACAGAGTTAGCACAGATTGGAGACCCTGAGGTTCACAGCTCACACGTTCTGCCATGTTGGTTTGAGTCACAAATTGATTCCCTTGAGCCATGAAGGATAAGGGTACTGGAACTCTCAGAGCGGAATCCCAGGACAGCACAGCGCAGTACATGCTGAGATCCCACGGGCCCTTCTCTGGGAAGCTTGTCTTCCAGAGCCTCAGGACCACTCTGCCGTTGTTTTAATAATGGAACCCAGCTCTCATCTGTCTGTACTGACTTCTTTCGTGAACAAAGGCTAGGCCATACCATTTCCTTCTCTCCTGAAGATTGTTATTTTGTGCACGGTTATGGATGAGAACTTCCCAAATATTGCCATTTTGCTTCTCTTGGGATCAAAAACTCTGGTTTTCAATTCTTTCTGTCTTCTTTCATTTTACTGTAAGCAAACAGCCGAAGAAATCTTTTCAAGAACTTGGGAGGCACTTACTGCTTAGATAGTATTTCTGCAGCATAGCTTAGTTCATTGCTTTTAAGATTCATCTTCCACAAGTCACAAAAGTGAGACTGCAAACATGCACCCAAAAAAGGGAAGGGGTCAAGAGACGGGTAGAGGGGGAGGGGCAAGAAGGGAAAAGGGATGAAATAAAGAATTCGGATGTGTTATATACCTGTAGCAACTCCCCACAAGGAATGTAAATATTATACACTACAAACATGTACTGATACGTAAAAATAAAAGAAACAGAAGGTGAGTGAATTTTAAATTAAGATAAAACATCTGTACATGGATAGCAAAAGAGATTCTATCATTGGGAACATTGACAAGTTGTAAATGAGTACGATTCCTGTGCCATCACTTTTGCCGCAAGAGCAGCAGGTGATGCTAACAGGGTGGTGATAACCGCAGCAATTGGTGAGGTTAACCATGAAGGGAAGAGAATGGGGCTTTTGGATAATGGTATTCTCCATTCAAAGCTGCGAATTTGATAAGGAGAAAACAGGGGGGCAGAGGAAGAGAAAGAGAAAGAAAAGCAGGCCAAAGACTTGTAGAGGGTATGATATATGACTTTCAGAGTGTTGATCAGCAAGTGTGTGTGTGTGTGTGTGTGTGTGTGTGTGTGTGCGCACATGTGGGTGCACGTGTGCACATTTGGAGACCACAAAAAGAGAAAAGAATAATAACAGTAGAAAAAGTAGGTTAAAGAGGATCCTTGAAATTTCAACTGGTTGCAGATTTATGCCCTCCTGATACCGGTTCTGGGGCTTCTGGTCCACTTGAATTATCATCTGCTTCTCATCCTTGTTGATTGACTTTGGTCAACTTGATCTTAGTATCAGCAGTGGAATGAGGAGTTCATTTGGGAGTTCAGTTAGGGCCCTTTAAAAAATCAGAAATATGATATTTTGCAAAAAAGAAGGGGACTGACAGATGGAGGGAGACGGGAAGGAGTGGAGGGGAAGCAGGTGATAAAAGAATTAAGGTGTGCTATGTACATACACTAAATTTCCATGATGAATGTAATAACTATGCAATGCACACATGTGCTAATGAAAATTTTTAAATTAAGAAATATGAAAGAATTAGAAATATAAATCCATGTGATTTATAGGAACATCGGGCTGAAGGGAGTCTTAGAGCTGGCATCATTTCCAATAAATATAATCTACAGGTCTCAGACTGTGAAGCCTCCTAGGAAGACATTGTTGAAGGAATCTTCAACAAAATTACCATTCTGTTGTAGGACGGTAGTGAGCTCCCTGCAATAATGCCTGAGACCTTTGCTGATGAGCATAGTTAATTTTTCTCCATCCAAACACAAAAAATGACTAGCAATTATCTCAAAAGGAGAAAATTTATGTCTTCTTGTAGGAATGAAATGATAGTTAATAAAATTAAAGGAAGGGCCTTGGACCATAGTAGACTGAATGTTGCACAAATTTTTGCAAAGTGAATTTTACCATTCCATTGGTTTGTTACACTATCCTCCAGAATTAAAGATGATAAGCCCAACTGAAATGCAGTCAGATAGGCCAGATATCACAACACTTTGAATAATTTATCCTTTAAAATGTGTCCTTCAATCACTATATTTCCAGAGAACGCCCTTTGGCAGTAAATTTTCTCTATTAAGGCCTTAGTTACTGCTATAGCTGTGAGCTGATGGCAGGGGAAACCCTCACCCCAATGGGAAAACATACAAATAATGAACAGCGTGCATTCACAGGCTGGGGGAGGAGGGAATTGAAAGCAATTTACTTGACATACCTTGAAAGGACCATTTGGAAGGGGAAAATGACCCATGGAGTCATGAAATGGCTTTCCAGGACTATATTAGGGACATTTTTAACAACATTGGTAACCCTGATAAGCAGTGGTGAGTGAGGGTCTGCAATAATACAATTTTCCCCATTGGAAGATCTTGTCAGTATTCCAGTAAGTCAAATCATGAATAAACTATAAAATTTCTTTTTGTAGACCAGTTGGGAAATTGGGGCACCATAAGGGCCCACTGAGAGACTTCTCTTTTAATCAAACAAACAACCCAGTTTTGCCCATTTCCCCCTTTCAGCCACAGAGGAAGTGGCTTGGGCCTATATTTGCCTATGGTACAAATCTGGACTTGAGGAGATGATAGAGGGTGAAGAAATTTTAGAGACTAGGCCATGTAGGTACTCTTAGAAGACAGCTACCTTGGCAGTGACATCAGCTACATTATTTCTGCTATGTTTTTCCAGGTGGGCAAATTAATGACCCTGGACTTTAAGGAATAGAGAGCTCTGGGATGAAATACCTGGTCCTTATTTTTTATTTGTTGTCCTGAGGAAGTCAAAAACCCTCTCTGCTTCCAAACTATATTAAAGTCATGGGACACTGCAAAGGCATATCTATTGTCTGTATGAGCAGGACCCTCTTGTCCATAGCTATGCCTTGGTGAGGACATATAGTTTGGTCTTTGGTG